GAGTGAGAAGAGGAGTTGACCATTTTTTTAATTATAAAAAATAAAAATTAATTTAATTACAATAACCCGGATTGCCGGTTCGGTATTTCAACTTGATTTCAACGATTGAAGCCTCTAAGTCTCCCAAATTGCTAACTTGAGATATCTGAGCAAGCCTTCTTCTTGTTGAAACTTGAATCAAGTTGAGAATTGGAGAGTAGTGAGAGTATGATAATATATGTGAGAGTATGATGTATGAGAAGAGATTGAGATTTGAGAGAGTATACTGTACAAGAGACTAAGAGAGTATAAGAATTGGTGTGATAAGAATGGTGGAGGATAAGACTATTTATAGGAATTGAAAATAATTTAATTCCCCAAAATGCCATAAAAACTAGTTGTTTTTTAGTTGTTGGGAGGGGTGTTTTGGTCATTATAAAGTCATTTATCACTTTACCTAAATATCCCCCTAAACTAGTTTTTATATAGTTGTTAGGGCGGGGCATTATTGTCATTTTATCTCCCCCAAAGCCTAAATACATAAATATCCCCTATATAGCTGTTGGGGGTATTTCTATAACCCCCACCCAAAAAAAAAAAGTTGAAACTAGTTGTTGGGGGGGTGGGGTGGGGTGGGGAGGTCTCCAACGGCTAGTTCTTTGGACGGGCCGAGCATAGCTTGTCGCAGGCTAGGCCGGGCTTGAAACCCCAAGCCTAGCACAGCGAATTGGCCCATACAATCGTGTCGGGCCATGGAATGGCTCATAAACCATTGGGCCGGGCCGACTCAAAATCATGTCACGGGTGGTCCAACCCGATCAAACAATGAGGTAAAACGTCTGAAACTCCTGTAATGTTTGCAACAGCTAAAACCTCATTGAAACTTTTGCTTGGAAGAAAACTGTGTACAAAACTTAGGGCCCGTTTGGTTTGCAACCGGAATTGGAATCGGAATCGGAATGACCTATTTCGCTTGATTGTTTGGTTCAGACCAGAATCGGAATTTGATTCTGATTTATGCTATTTGGTTTATTAAGAGGCTGGAATCAGAATCAGCCATGAATTCCAATTTTGCCCCTAATAAAAAAAAAACAGAAAATGCATGAAATTATCAAAAAATGCAGAAATTGTAGAAATTTTATAGGAAATGCAGAAATTACAATAATTTTGTAGAAAATTCATTAAAATGCATGAAAAAAACTCAAAATTTGCAGAAATTGCAAAAAAAAACATGTAAAAATTTTGCAGAAAAAAATGCAAAAACACCATTTGCAGAGAAAATGCAGAAAATGCATAAAAAATTTTATTAAGAGGTGTCTATTAAGTGGGGTCCATCTTATCTCGTAGTAAGTGCCACGTGGTAAGTATTTACTCCAAATGGGGAGAGGAACCGTTGGTTGTACAGGGTCCAATACCACCAGCTCTTTACAACTACAAATACTTACCATGTACAGCCATGTGGGGGAATGTCATGTTTCATTGCAGGTGTGTATGACATTTTGACACCACATTCCTTGGGGTGGGGTAGGGAATGGGCATTCCCCCATTCCGTTTAACCAAGCATCCAAAATGGGAAAGAACTATTCCGATTCCAATTTCAGACTCCTATTCCCTCAAACCAAATAGACCCTTAGAAGTGAGAGGTTGCATGTGAATATAAGGAAAGAAAATCTAGTAAAAAAAGGTGGCTGAGATGGTTAAAAATTTGTTCTCTTGAAGGTCAAGTCAAAGTCCAAGAGAGGGTGTGAAGGTTGGACGTTTGATACTAGGTGTTCTTGATCTCCTGAAGGTAGTGAAGTTGTTTCCAATCTGAGACTTAGAGAATGTGATTGCTGGACGTCTGAGAGTGAGAGGGTCCTGTGTGTTAGAGTTTGAATGTGAAAAATGGTAGAGAGAAGAGACGTTTGGTCTCCCACTGTGTTTTGGGAACCAACACGTTATTAATGTGATATTAAATATTAAAAAGAAGAAAAAAACCTAAAAATCCCATAACACAGATAAATGCGTTATGAGAGCAACGTGAGTGAAGATAAGTGCATTCTAGGATTTTTCACATTGCAGTAATGTGCTACATCAGCACATTACAGTTATGATCACTATACTTGTAACAAGTCCAATGGATAATACAAACCCTTAATCTTGAGGTTGACAAGATTATCAAAAAAAATTATGACCTTAAATGTTAAAAGTGTTTCACTAATATCTTAAGACTTTTGATGTATTTAGTCAAGCATGTAACAAATGGTATTAGAGTTTACCACCATGTCTTAGGTTCAAATCAAGAAGAGGGCTATTTGTGAGAAGAGCTACTTAGGCTGTGTTTGGTTGAAGGAAAAAGTAGAGAAAGGAAAGGAAAGATAGGAAAACTTTTACAAATCTTGTAAATTTTCTTGCCTTTTCTTTCCTTTCCCCACTTTTTCGTTCAATCCAAACATAGCCTTAAAGTAGATTGAATGCTACTACTAAAAAATTCACTTGGAGAGAATGAAAGCTGCTAGAGGAAAATTATTTCCATAGGGAAAAGGCTAATTGCCTTAGGGTGTTAGTTGCTGACTTGCTGTAGCCTGTAGTCTGGTAAATATGGCTACTTGTCACAGTGAAAGCTGCTTAGAGTGTAGCCACTAAGATGTGTGAAAGTGTGATGGTGTGTTATGGTCCTAAATGTTAAAATATTTAACTTAGGCCATGTTTGGGAGTAATTAAAATAAGTCTTTATTAGAAATAAATGTTTATTTGGGCGAGGACCACACCATTAAGCACTTATTATTGTTTAGGAAATAAGTGCTTATTTTAAAAATGACGATTTATTTTTTAATCTCAAATTTTCAGCTTTTTTTAAGTGTTCATACAATAAGTACTTATTCAATTCTTTTTCTCCCATAATTGTCCCTAGTGAATTTTTAGAATACCAATTATAACCCTTTTACAAAGACATTTTTATAAAAGTAATTTTATGAAAATTACTTTTTACGAAAGTAAAGTATTTTTACAAAATCACTTTTATGAAGGTACTTTTACAAAAAACACTTTTTATAAAAGTATTTTACGGAAGTGATTTTATGAAAGCACTTTTGTAAAAGTATTTTTATAAAAGCACTTCTTTATTCATTCATTTTAGATTGGATGTTTTGAAAATTTAAAAGAAAATGAAGGACAAAAGAGTCACAATTATTTAAGTGCTTATTGGAGAAAAAGACCATCAAACATCCGATATAAAATAAGTGCTTATTTTTTAAAATAGAATGCCAAATACAAATAAATATTTATTCAAATAAACACTTATTTTTAATATAAGCACTCTCAAACATAACCTTAAAATGAGTTGCAACAATCTTAAAGCTTTTAGCATATTAATCAAACATGGATTAGAATAAAGTGTTGTTTAGTATAAACTGATATCCTAAAACCAGAAATATCAACGAACTTGGTGTGCCGCCAACTTGAGTTGAAGTTTGGGGAGGGGAAAATAAGAGAATCCCTATTAATTTCACCATTTTCCTCGTGACGCTGTTCTGGAGAGAAGAAGAGATTGCTCGACAAGCCACTAAAAAACTTGATAAATTAATTAGGGCGAGTTGGATAATCAATGTAGCTACCGATTTCTTGGGTTGATTTAGCAATCTACTCAACTATCCAAAACAATAACCAGACTAGCTAGCTCCTGTTGAGTGTTGACCAGGCAGTAGGCACTAATCTTTTTTACGGGTTTATTATTTGTATACGTTTTAGAAAACTATTTAAATAATAGCCTGTAGTTTCAAGATTTATTTATATGTGGCTTTTAATCTGGCCCCACATAACAAATGTAACATAAACAAGTCCTCCGTTAATGAACCATCATTTAGGGTCATTAATAACAAAGATTAGCTTTTTTTTTCTTAATCCCAAGGGCCGTTGAGAGCTAGTGGGTTGTTTTCCTTTGGTAATTAAGGTAGATGGTTGGATTATTACTTTGTGCATCGATGTGGATGATATATGTATGGGGAGGATGGGAGTTGTAATAATATGTATACTACATCAGTATTAATAGATAAGAGATAAAGGAAAGTGCATGGGCCAATTAATCTTCACGGTGGGACCCTATCCCAATATCCCAGTATCCCAGTATCCGATGACGCGTTTATTTCCTATTGGCACGATAACATGTGTGGCCATTGATGATCGAGGGGGTTATATGGGGTTCCTGTAGCTGCAGGAGCATGAGTGCAGGACCGAGCTTTCAATTTCATTGCTTCCCATCATTGTCAATTTGTCATGATATAGAAAACGAACCAAAATCTACTCAAATCACAGTCCACAGACTTATGTGTGTTTGTGTAATTCCATCTTTACATCTCCCATTATAAACGCAACAGTAACACTGACACGAGCATGCATCTCAAAAAGATTCAAAGATGTTGCTTTCCAAGATTATATAATTGTACCCGTCAAAATCCACAAAGCCAACCGTCCCAAATACATATATATTCCTTCTTCACTCGATGATTTCGAATTTCTAATGACGCTTCTTTAATTTTAACCGTCCAAGGAAGCAAATCCGATGATAATTTGGAAGGCTGAGATAATCTTTCATGTTTAATCTACAGTGGTTACAGACAGCAGCAGCCACTACTGACTTGACGGTGTTTCCATCATCTGATTTTGATATAATGTAATTTATCCATTAATAGATGGTTTATTTGGGCTTTTATTGCTTTTATTGGTAAGATGAATATGAGATATACAGATTTATTTGGGTTAGTGGGTTTGTTTGGAGTTTGGAGGGCGGGGTCATCGGCTCGAGTCAACTGAGCCGAGCCGGCCATATTGCTTGCTACTCCTACTTGGGTCGGGTGTCAAGTAACGGCGTTAAGATTGAAGACAGAAATAAATAACGCCACATGAATTGCATTGCATATGTGGGAAGTGGGAACCACCGTCACGGTACGTCGGTACCGTTTCCGTCTCCTTCCCCCCCTCTATTTAGCTTCCTCCCCCACTAGGCCACCATCTTAATTCCCACCCCCACAAGGCCACAAAGGCACATACCCACCTCTCCCTAATCACTTTTTGTTTGTTTCCCTTGGAATGAAATCTCACCACCCCATCTTCCTCCAATATTAGATTCTCTCATTCTCTCTTTCTCTCGCCGCGCTCTCGCTCTACTACAAACCTTTTTGTTTTTTGTTGGAGTTTTGTTCTCGCCCCATCCCCAAAAGCCAAAACCGCTTGTTGGATTCCTCTCCATCCACAAATGGTGCCACCAAAGTGTGGTCACAGATTCTTCAAATTCAGAAGCCCTGTTCTTCCACAAAGCTTCGTCTCTATTATCTCTATTATCTGAGCTTCCCCATATTACCCTCGCAAGCAAAAAAGAGTACTTTTTCTCTCTCCGTCCCTCACCCTCACTTGCTACAACAAGATTCCCTAGAACTAGAAGCTTCATTAGCAGAAAGAGAGAGAAAAGATCTTATATACTTTTTCCCTCTCTCAATTTTTATTTTTTGTCATTACACTCGATTAAATCCTCTTTGTCAAATCTCTCTTCATATTTATCTTTCTTTTTTGTTTATCAGTCTTATCATTCAAATGCTTGCTAAAGAATACGACTTCTCACGTGCGTCCGTTGTGGAAATGGCTTGGATCATGCTCAGGATCGATTACTCCAGGCTATTCTGGCTTCTCTTCGGTGTCTTCTCTTATGAAAACCACGAAGGAAAGCCTCGGATCTAGCAGTTCTTCTTCTTCCATAATCCCCACCCAACTCATCCAATCCTCCTAATTCCAGGAATAACAAAAGATAGATAATATTTCCCTAGTACTCCCTATTAACAGTAACAGTAGGGAATATAGCAAAATAAGGAAAAGACGTACGAATTTGTTCCTTTGTCCTTGAGAGATTTCGAGCTTCTTCTCGGTGTGCAGGGCTCCATCGCTCCAACATGTACAAAGCACGACTCCGGGAACGTGTTGACGGAGCCACCCCCCCCAACTCTGGGTACGTCGAGACCGATCCAACCGGCCGGTATGGACGTGTAAGTTTTCCGCTCTGTATTTTTTCTTTTCATTTTATAAATTTAAATTTATTGTTCAGTATCACTATTACGCAAGAAAAACGAGAGACAGAAAGAGAGAGCAGAGAGACAACTTGGATACGGATCACCTAGTTTTCCTGATTTCAAATATAAATAAAAAATACTTTCTCAAAAAATAAAAAAAATTAATAAAGGGTTTAATTAAATGAACAACTTGCTATTCCAAAAGTCTACCCTAATTTAAAATATCACGTTGCTTGGTTCTAAGCTTTGGCAAGTGGTTTTGTAAGGGACAACAAGTATATCAAATTTCTCTTTTCCCATTTTTTAAAGTTTCATCCAATAATTTTCCCAGAAAGGCTGTTCTTAACTTCCCGTCCGGACAAAGTCGTCGTTTCTAAGTTAAGTCTTTTAGAACCATCTATCAGTCAGCTGGATTTTACTGTATATGACTATATGTTTCTGAATTCTGATTCGCTTTATTTTTTAATTCTTTTCTTTTTCAAATTTCCGCTCCCCCCCCTATATTTTCCGTTTCCGTTCACAGTCTGTTTATTTTGTTAAGAATATTTTCTTCGTCCATTGATCAATGGTTATTAGTTATCAAATATCAACTACACTACTCTCTCTCTCTCCCGAGTCGGTATTCCTACAACTCTTTCTTTTTCTCCGGGCGTACGTCTTTGTGTTTTGTATACCGTTTAGAGTTTTAATTTTTATTTCTTCTTCCCATATTGAGCAGAAGTTGTTGTTGTTGTTGGGAAAAACAAACAAATTGATACATACATCATACGGGTTGAATCAATAAATGGTATGGCTAGGATCATGTGGAGCATGTGGTTCACATGGTCAATTTCCCTATTTTCCTTCGACGTCTCAGAGAACCAGCCGGTGCTGGTGGTCGGAAATCTAGTGCACTTCCAATTCAAAGATTATAGCGTGTGTAAGATGATAATTCAGGCTCCTACGATATGTATCTTATCGCATACAAGCTAGCTTTGAAATATTCTGTACTAGCAAAGACCCGTTACATGCACGGATGGAGTTATAAATTATTATTATTATGTCCACTTGAGTATTAATTGAATATGTCAACTTAAGTACTAACTACCAAGACCATGCCAATAAGCGTAGATGTTTTATCACAGAAATAACATGTAGAAAGGAAAGCTTTTTCTAAGTCAAGTTTAAGACCAAAATAACCTTTTTTTTCTCCCCTCTTAAATGAGTGGATCTTCTTTTTCCAATGAATTAAAAAGAGGAATAACATGGAAAATATGGGATGAGAATGAGAATTCGTAGTTGGGCCATCTCCAGTGGTTGGAAAGAAAAAGAAAAAAAGCTGTGGACATGGTGATGATAAATATCATGGTTTTTAAAAACGAACCGGTGACTGAATTGATCAGGGGTTCGGTTACCAGTTCAAATGGTTAATTTTGTTGACCAAAATCAATAATTTTGAGAGAAAAAATCAGTTGACCAGTTCCCGGTTTTTCTGGTGTGATCCGGTTTTGAAAACAGTGATACATATATATATATATTTTAATTTGAAATTAAATGATGTTTTAATATCTACCCAAGATTATTCCATTGACCATTGAAACCACAAGGATTTGGTGCTGCGGGAACTTTATTGCCAGGTGTTTGAAAGTTGAAACTACAACCATGCATGGCTAAACAGGAAAATACATTATATTAATAGATTAAAGGGAATTAATAGAAGAATACTTATGCTTAATTAGTAATTACCGTTGATCGAGTATTTATTTTATTTTTGTCATTTCTTTCTCGTACCTACCTCATCCTCATTTTCTTTTTTATTTTTCTTTCCATGGGCCATGGCAAGGAGCCAAGGAGACGTGACGTGAGTGGGTTTTCCACTGGGCTGAGGGACGTGGCATCCTCCTTAATTGAGCCCGGAAATCACAAGTGAATACATCAATATTCCATATGCTTATAATTAAGTTGACTGTTGACCCATGGGTACAGCACATTGGCATATTTACTTGTGACCGGTTACTTAATAAGCGATCCACAATCCACAATCCACAGCCAAACGAGCAACAGATCCTGAGTGCATTAATTCTTTTATTTATATCAATGATATTGATGTGATAAAACCGAAAAAGCGACAGATTCCTTTATATTTTTTTCTTCCGGATGTTCTTTTGTTAATTAGGTGGGTGGAGGAGGGGAGGGAATTCCATTTTGTTTGATACATACTATTCAAGATTCGTCTGATACTCTGATTGGTTTCTCTACCTACCCAATAATAAAACTCAGAGTAATTAAATGCACCATTTCAAGTAAAGTTAAACAAGTAATGATATAATTAGTACATTCCATTAGTTTTTGGTTTCTAACATTTATTCATTAAATTAGATAAAATTACTTTAACTTGATTAACATTGAAGTTCACTCGCTCCAAAACAGTTTCCAGCTTCATCACATCTGCTTCGATCACAATTATATTAATTGCAACACTTTCAAATGAAAAAATGAAAAAAAAAAAACAAAAACAGAACATCACTTTAGTCTTTATAAATTTTTGGGGCACAAAATAGTGCTGTTTAAAAAAAAAGTCTTTAATTAATTTCATTTTAGACATTATTATTATTAATACAATTTGTAAGGAGAAGTCAAAGCTGGAACTAATTTACATCATTATTAAGGCAAGGAAATGGTGATCATGATCACTGTTGGGGTGTTTATGGGTCTTATCATATGTCTGTTGTATGTTGCAGTTCGAGGATGTTTTAGGCCGAGGAGCCATGAAGACAGTTTATAAAGCATTTGATGAGGTAGTTGGAATGGAGGTGGCGTGGAACCAGGTCAAACTCAATGATGTATTCCGGTCACCCGAGGAATTGCAGAGGCTGTATTCAGAGGTTCACCTACTTAGCACCCTAAATCACGACTCCATCATCCGATTCTACACCTCGTGGATCGATGTCGCTCGGAGAACATTCAACTTTATCACCGAAATGTTTACTTCAGGCACCCTAAGAGAGTATGACTTTGTAACATCTTCTTCTTCATGTTATTATATTATTGACCGTCGTTTGCTTGTATTCTTGTTCTGAACAAGTAAGATATCAGACGATTAGTGAAATTTGTATGCCATGTTATGCGACACAGATATAGACAGAGATACAAGCAGGTAAATATTCGAGCTGTCAAGAATTGGGCCCGCCAAATCCTACGTGGTCTTGTTTATTTGCACGGTCATAATCCTCCTGTGATCCATAGGGACCTCAAGTGCGATAATATCTTTGTCAATGGCCATCTCGGACAAGTGAAGATTGGTGATTTAGGGTTAGCAGCCATTCTCCGTGGGTCTCAACCCGCCCACAGTGTGATAGGTACTAATCATCCCTTTCTTCATTTCTTTAGATCAGCTCCCACTAGCTCACATCAGAAACTTTTCTTATGTGTAGATCTTAGTGAAGACCGTAGGTCGTTTAATACTTTAATTTATATCCTCTTTGATTAAAAGTCAAAAACTTACGGCCTATTCAAACATATCCCCTGTTGGTTGTTTCATTAACTAATTTGATCTATGAAAATGTAGTCATTAATTTGGGACTTGGATCTCATTATTAATCATTATCTTATGAATACTTGTAAAGTTGGATCTAATCAGACATGCTATTACTGCTAGGCACCCCGGAATTCATGGCACCAGAACTATATGAAGAAGAATACAACGAGCTCGTGGACATATACTCCTTTGGCATGTGCGTTCTAGAGATGCTTACTTCTGAGTATCCATACAGCGAGTGCTCTAACCCAGCTCAAATCTACAAGAAAGTGACATCGGTAAGCTCAGGGCTCCGATGTCGTGATGATTTCCGGTTTGCATTGATGACCTGATCATCCTGATGATGAATATATATAATCTGACCCCCNCCCCCCATCCCCATCCCCATCCCCATCCCCGCTTTCTACGTTCTAGGGAAAGCTGCCAGACGCATTCTACCGGATTCACGACTTGGAAGCCCAACAATTCATTGGGAAATGCTTGGAGACTGCTTCAAAGAGGATGTCTGCAAAACAACTCTTGCTCGACCCCTTCCTTGCCTCTCACGAAGAAGAGATGTTGCCAGCTCCAAGAATTACTGATCACAAGTCGATTACTAAAAATCCTGCACCAGAGTACAGTCATGTTTATTTGCCAACGCCACTTGCTACTCCGAGAAAGACTACTACAGACATGAAAATTACAGGGAAGATGAACCCTGAAGATGATACCATCTTTCTTAAAGTACAGATCGCTGATAAGGAAGGTAAGCCTCAGCCCCTCAATTAATTAGGATTCTGTTGCTAGATATATAGATACCGTGCTTGGTTGTACTGGGCACGGCTTAATTAATTAATTGGGACTACTTTTGAAATAGCTAGGTAGAGAGAAACTGATCCAATTGTGTGCCTCGCCCGATTTATTTCCAAGGCTAGACTAGCTAAGCTACTTCTACACTTCTACCTTCTACGCACAGCACGGGCCTTGTCTTCTTTAATGAAAATTCTGAGTGACAGGGTATATACTATTCCTTGTTTTACTACAGGTTGTGTGAGGAACATATATTTTCCTTTTGACATTCTAAGTGACACCCCGGTCGATGTTGCGACCGAGATGGTGAAAGAGCTGGAGATTACCGATCGTGAACCGTTTGAGATCGCCGAGGTGATTGAGAATGAGATTTCAGCTTTGGTGCCACACTGGAAGGAACCTGAACCTGAACCTCACCCTCACCAAACCTTTAGCTATCAAGATGATGATGATGATGATGGACCTCACCATGCTTTCTGTTCTTTTTCCTCCTGTTCTTCTTCTCACGCCTCACTCTCTGGACTGATCAGTTCAACCCACATTTCTCGTGGGGAGGGTACATTTAATGGCTGTGATTGGCTCCAAGGTATGTTCCGACGCATTTGCGCTATAATTTTGGACAGTATAACAATTGAGATGGGAATTAGAATAAAAATTAATTAATGCTGGATTAGGCTATAGAAGAAATTGTGTTATCTATGCATGGGATGAAAACAACTCTAAAGTAAACAAGGGTAAAGCGAAAACAGAGCTTATTGATGAATGAGATCAATAATATTGATGCATGCATGCAGGCGACTTGTTTGCTGACGACGATGCTAGCTCTCAAAGCTCTGCACACTCACAGTCGTCGGGCATGTACTCCAACATAAATTACAATTCAGGCAGCGAACATGATTTCAATCCAAGTCCTAGAAGAAGAGACTACTGCTCAGCTGCAATGTCCCACCATCAGTCCACGAGATTCTGCCCTGAGGAGAAGGCGAGGGCAGGGCACTCGATTGGTATGAATCGGCAGTCTCGCAGAGCTTCTAGTTCCAATGAATCAGGAAGAGTGGATAATCGTCAATTGACAAGAAACCGATCATTAGTGGATGTGCGCAGTCAGTTGTTACACCGCACTTTGGTTGAGGAGGTAAACAAGCGTCGCCTGTTCAAGACTGTGGGTGATGTGGAGAGTATCGGATTTCAATCTCCCAAGGGATTGTGTGAGAAGGGCTCACCGCTTAAGGGTAAGAAGCAAGGATTTAAATGGTGAGAATATTTTGAGATGGTTTAATTAATTAGCCTCATAAATTTAATGGGGAAGAAGTATGTCTGGTAATATATATATATATATATATATATATATATATATATATATATATATATATATATATATATATATATATATATATATATATATATATATATATATATATGTATGGAGTTTGATATAGATGTGAATGTATACTTGTGTCGTGAGGAGTGTGGAGGGGGAGTGCACCGGCGAGGTTCGTTGTACAGTGGTATTGCCAGAAGCTTGGGTGCTTGCTTGAGTTGAGGCTTTGACTAGTTCAAGTCAGCATTAGCTCTCCAGTCTCCACAGAGAGCGCCCAACAAATCAGCCAACCTGGACTCGTATTCCAAGCGGCAAGCGCCACAATGTGTTGAAGTTGAGACTCGAATGTAATGTATATTATTTTGTAGGCAATAATGGTATGCGGGAATTTATACCATGAGAATGAAGTATGTATGACCACACAACCCCCCTTTGCTTTGATATGACACCAGGTCACCTCACCGGGTCCTACTTAAAGCAAGTAATAGCACGACCAAAGAATGTGTGGTATTTAACTATTTATACATTCATTCGCGTTCTCACTTTCCCAGTTGTGAGGGAATTGGGTTAGGGAATTGTGAGTGAATTAGTCATCAATCAAATCCAATGAGACAAGGAGTTGTGAGTTTTGAATCCCTTGCCTCGAAATTAGACCATTGTAGTTGCCAATGGTGAGATGAAGATAGGGGCAAGTTAGGCGGCGAAACATCTTTCTCAACTAAGTAGAAGTACCGTCTCCACACCATCACATAGGGCTCGGGATTTGTTAAAAAAGCTCAGTCCGGCTCGACTCGACTTTTATATAAATTAAACCCTAAATTCTTAAATTACCTAATCCTAACCTTAAATTCTTAAAACATTTCTTTTCATTCTCCTTTCTCACTCTCACTCTCAGAAGTGGTTCTCATTTCTCATTCTCACTCACTCACTCTCTCTCTCTCATCAACTGGCACCGTCTTCATCTTCTTTCTTCTCATTCTCAGTTCTCTCTCTAGTCGGCGCCACTAGAACCCAAGCGCACTGTTTTCATTATGCGAATTCAGGCCCCGACGATTAGTGCCACCAGATCTAGATCGTCTCTCTCTCCAGCAGTGAGCTCTCTTTCTCTCTCTCTGGCCAGCACTGTTGTCATCTTCTATCTTCTCACTTTCTATTCTCACTCTCAGACTCCTAGGAATCGACAAACTTAGTAGGCACCATTCTCTCAATCTCAGAGGGCATTGGCGCTTAGACTCCCAGGTCGGGCTTCGAGCTTTTTATGAGGGCCAGGTTCAGGCCTAAGTTTTAGGCCAATTGGTCGAGCTGGGCTTGGGCCTGAAAAATTTATGTTAATGAAGAGCAAAAGCCCGGCCCGAGCTCGGTCCATGAACATGTCTAATTCCAAGTGCGTGCTGTAGGGTGAATTTGCAAGTGATAAAAGAAAAAAAAAAGATGGTTACATTGCAATCCTGGTGCGAGGATTGGTGATGATGTGGACATCATAACTTTGGGTTTTTAGGCTCAGTTTTGCATTTGCATTGAAGTAAATGCTGGGGCCAAGTTTCAAAATATCGATACCAATTGTATTGAGGCCAGTGTCCTTTGTTTTTTTAGTTTTTTTAACCTAGTTCAGAGGAGTCAATTTAAGGACCCCCTTAACCAGGTTAGACCCCGAGACACCCCCTATAAGGGCGTATTAGGAAGCCAATGATACGATACATATCATTGGCAAAGGATAGTGCATGTAAATAAGGTGAATGTAAATTTTGGTTTACTTCTTGCTTATCTTTGTTATATTTGTTTTAGAAAAGCAAAGTGTACTTCCACCTAATGTTTTAAATATAGACCCTTGCAGTATTGAGTTCACATTGGTACCCCACAGGGCGTGCCCCACCGTGCCTCACAACGTATCCCAACCGCGTATTGCGAACATCTCCCAATGAAAGTACATTAGGTGTTCCCAATTAGCTAGTCTTTGGCACAAGATACAATTTACAAAGATATCCATGTCCTTTTATTAAAAAATGCATATGATGTGATTTGAACCAAAGTTATATCTAAAGTATAATGCCCACATCCAAATCTTAAATGTAGCCTTAAACTAATAAGCCATGCCACTTTTAGGTCTACATCGCAATTCAAATAAATAACATGTTTATTATTTATAAAAATAAAAATATCGTTTACAAAACATTCAAGAATATAATATTAAATTGAATTTATCAAATCCACCGATCTATATTTATATCAAAAGAAATGATTTTTTTTTATTTCAAAAAATTAAAGAAATAACAATATTAATAATGGACTAATTATTTTAGTAATTAAAAATTATGAATTTGTATAAATATGCATCTTATAAATTTTAAAAATTTTGATATATTTCAAGTCAACATTATATGTTTTTATAAATTATTAAATGATATTTTAATTTACATTTGGAATTTTAATATAATTAAAATATAATATGCATTATCTATAAAGTTGTATGATATTTATGCACCCCACCATACTAATTGTAACATATTTTTCATTTATCATTAGGATATACATTTTTATTTTTGTAAGCGTTTTCATATTTTTCATTTGTATCCATGTATTTTCAAAGCACATTCATATCTGAGTTGTTTGATAAGATATCCGATATTGATACTTTGATCCTTGTTCTCACCTTACATGATTGAAGGCATGATACTTTGATACTTAGTTTGGGAGTGAGGTAGGAACTAGTGCTAATTTTGCACCAGTTTTTGGAAAGCAAAATTTGTACCATTATACAAAAATTTGTATCAAGAGTATAAATTACAATTATAAACAATTAGATGCAAAACAGAAATAGATGCAAAATTTGTATCTGATTCAAACTTGTTCCGCAAACAAACAATGTCATAATTCTGACTATGAGGACTTTTTTTTTTTAATTTATCCTCTTAATCTTTTTTTTTTTCCTTTTTTCCCCCTTTTGAATCTGTTCATCCTACAAACTATAGAGGTCAAAATGGTTGGAGGAAAGCGTCTGCCACTTGCCCACCTCTTGAGTTTTTTTTTTTTTTTCAAATGTAAACCTCTGATCAATGATCAAAGTATCAGTATCGTATCGGATAAGTCGGATGCAGATACGGATACAGATACACTTTGAAAACATATGGATACGAACGAAAGATATAGAAACACTTGGATACGCTAGCGAAATGCATACAAATCACATAAATACATTAATAATACTAAACTGAAAGTTGAATTATCTATGAATAAGATATAAAGACATGATAAATGCATACTTCAATAGGTTATATGAAGAGAAATATTACAATAAACAATACTGGGACTCTAGAACATTCAAACATTATACAATAATTATCCTTCTTTCAATTTTATAATTATAATTTTCAGTTTTTATTAATTTTTGAGAATATTTATTAATTTAGTATTTTATTTAAATAACAACTACTTTTAAATAGTAAATATGTTTTCATTTTTTACATATAATATTTTTATTTTACACATAATTGTAAAATAAAACAAATAAATTATTTAAGGTAGATAAAATAAATTTATATAATTTTCAGTTTTTATTAAATCTTTTGGGAAAACTAAATCTTAAATTATTTGTTTCAGTTTTTATAATTACAATTTTCTGTTTTCCATTAATTTTGTTGAAAATTTTTACTTATTTAGTATTTTTATATAATAACTATTTTTTCAAATAATAACAATGTTTTTCATTTTGAACATATAATTATGTGTAAAATAAAATATATAAATCGTCTAAGGTAGATGAAATATATTATTTTTATAGTTTATAGTTTATAGTTTTTATTAATTTTTTTGAAAAAAATTAAATCTTAAATTATTTATTTCATTTTTCATAATACTATTTTTAATTTGTATTAAAGAAGAAAAACAATCCAAAAATACTCGATGTACAATTTTATCAAACTAAACACGGATACGCCTCTATATCCCTATATATCGGACTGTATACAGTACTATACAGCCCGATATGAAAACATATCGTACTGATACGTATGACTTATGAAATACGTATCCAAACATAATGTATCCTATATCCATGATCATGATCATGGATACGGTCCTTAATCCTTGCCTCTGATGTCCTAAACTCTAATCGTAAACCCTAAGATTAACATGTAAAATACAGTTGGTCGGACACATGTCATCCATGTAGGAGCCAAATATTTCCCCAGGTTTAGCCGAGACCGGATCTTCTCACAATAAAAACTGTTCCGACACGGTTTCAATATGACCTGTGTCAGCTCATCTTTCCCAGTCTTATGATGGGGTCCAATCTCATGATGAGATGTGTGGAAACAGATGGTGTTGGGACAATTTTCGTTGTGAATAGATCCGATTCGGTTTAGCCAACTTATATTGGGCCCAGCCCACTTTCTTAAGTTTCAGGGAAAGTGGAGTCAGCCAGTCAGGAGCGAGCGTGCTTAAGATTAGAAAACTGCAAGAAAAGCGTGGGCTTCAAGCTCTCATTATGCCTATCATGATAGAGGCCTTCCATCCAACTGTCCATTCCCGGCTGGTTGTGGTTGGCTTCTTTTTGTTGTGATGGGGAGTAATGCTTAAGGCCGGATGCTAAGTTGCACGTCGGCTACACACAACAAGATCAACAGTCGCTAATGAACGTTCTTGATCAATAGTAACTAGTAGGTAGGACCTGCCCTCATAAACTGGTGGAGCAGTACTGTTTTCTTTGGGGCGAATGATCAACCTCTATTTGATTGGTGGTTGAACCCGCGCAAACAGAAAATAATTTCGCTCATACGAACGGGTGGGTCATAGGTGGAAAGATCTCCTTCCTAAACAAACCCAAACCCAAACCCAAAGTAAACATCCTCTCATAATTCTCTTCTCTTCTGATACGCTTCCATGGCTATCCTACGCACCCGCCATCGTTTAATCTCATCGGCACCACCTCCATCACCCATCGCCACTGCAAAAGGATTACGATCAGCAGCAGTCGACGATAAGGTCCTATCGGAGTACCTTGAGAGGACACTTCAAATCCCCGATCTAACACTACCGGAGTTTTGCTTTCCGGAGAACGCACGTAGTTGGATCCCTTCAAGGGTTGATCTCCGGTCGCTAATATCAAAAGACGAGGATTCAATTCGTCAGGTATTAGGATCAGCGGCAGAGTTTGGCACTTTTCTGATTATCGGTCATGGAATTTCAGCAGATGAATTACAATCCATGCTGCTAGAAGCGAAGTGTGCTCCTGAGATCCCGGCAGAGAAAAGAAGAATTATAAACCGAAACTTAAATGGACGTGGGGAAGTGCACGAGGAATTGTTCTGGTTTTGCGCTGGAGAAGGGAAGAAGGAAACGCTACGAGAAGAAATCGGTCCCGATAGATATCGGAGATTTAGGTAAAGACCGAAAACTTTGTAGAATTGTAGTTGGCAGTACTGTAGTCTTCATATTTATTTATAAAATTCTTCTGTTCTTTTTATTGCGGTTTCATAATTTATCTGTTGAATACGGCAACTTGCTAGAGAGTCCTGATATGTGGAACGCCTCGATAAGATGCATGGTTGCCACATGGCGCCTAACATAGCCATGGGATTCACATATATTGGGTCCCACGACCCACATTAGATCTATTTCTTGGATAATAATTTCATCCTTAATTAAAATTTTCAATTAACGAGAAGCAAGAGAAGAGGCCTCCAAAGTCCGTCGCCAGACTCGCCACCGCCAGCACTCGTCCCCAGTAGTGAAGCATGGTTTGTCGCTGGCATGGCATGGTGTGATGGAAACATACATGCATGCATGCATCTATTCTAGCTACAATATGTGCATGGAACAGAAAAAATTAAAAGGACCACAAAACAATAGTGAAGTGTTGTAGCTGACCCTCTATGGCAACGGGGCGGGGCCGGGTTTTGCCGGCCACGTACCCGATCCGAATTCAAATTCCTGCCCCGAATCCTGGTGGAGCTAAAAAAAAATCCTAACTCTATCTTCGTCTTTGTAGGGAACGGGGATTCCCGACTTTGTCTTGCCCCGCCCCGGTCATTTTTATTTATATATTTATTATTTTATTTTTATTTTTTAAAAAACCTAGGATTATTTTATATTGTATAATATAAATTATATATATATATATATATATATATATACATACATATATATTATGTTTTATAATATGATCAAGACGAGATAGATAAATATTATCCCCAACCCCAGAGTTTCGGGTTTTCCCAGAATCCACCCCAAACCCCAATCAATAGTCAAAAAACCCACCCCAATAGGAATGAGGTAGGGCGGGGCCCAATGGGGACAGGTGAAATTGCCTCTACTCTAAATATTTTAGGGGGTGGTTTTTTTTTTGGATTTTGAGAGGGGGGAAAGTTGGTCAATGAGATTTTGATTCCCATTGACCAAGAATCCCAATGTTCTTTTTTCATATTTATGTGGAGATTAGAGAAAGTTTATTTTTCTATGTATCACTTACCTGAGTAAATAATACTCATCTCCTAAGTGAGTAAATAACTTTCCCACCTAGGGGGAAAATTGCTAACACTTGAATGGGACAAAAATGCCCTTTTTAATAATGGATTTTTATGGCTAAAATGGTCATTACCTTGTTTACATGAGAAATAAAATAACATAGATAAATGCACTTACCCGAGTAAATGTGTCTTAAGAAAAACTTACCTAAATAAACAACTTACCGAAAATCAAACAAGGCCTTAGTGTGATTATATGCAGAATTTCAACTATCCTTATTCAGTTTATCCAAACCTGACACCCCTATTCTATTCTATGCTATAATCTCCTTACAATGATTCCATTCGCACAATAACGTGCTTTTATTACTAACTTCCTCATCTTCATTATTAATTTCAGCAAAAATACAGACAACATTGAAAGCAAACTTGAAGCCATTGCAGATGCAGTGGGACAGATTCTATTTCAACATAAGAGAGTGCAGCACCAGCTGGATGGCATCAACACGAGAGGTTCAGTTATCTGCTTCCACAGACTTATTGCAAATCCAAATGCAACAACAACACGCGATGAGGATGATGATGATGAACGAGAACATACTTCGTCTCATCATCATGCTCTTTTAAGCCTCCACCTTCATCCCAGCGATCAAGAATTTGATGTACAAACTAGGCAAGGGCTTTTATCTTTCACCGCCGGCGCTGACACCATTGTTGTCACCATTGGGAAACAACTTGAGGTACGTAGTATCAGCATTTTCGGTTCGCTTACTATATTTAGCTTTGTAAGATATAATCTCTCTTCTTTAATTTCTTGGTCAAGGACACAAGGAAGGCTGGATATATGGGCTTGTGGGTATAATCTTCGACCTAGGAATGGCCTAAAGCATCAATTTACCTGATAGTTGAAATGGTATCAAACCCATAGCGGAGGTGAGGGATCAAACCCACGGAGCTGCGGCTGGCTCTCCGTGGTATATGGCTTGTGGGCCTCAAAAACGCGTCCATTCCAATTCCAAGCACAGACAGAGCACTCTTTTTATTCAAAATTTCCTGAAAATGAACTCGTTTACAATTTTTAATTTGGTGAATTCATTTCAGCTGCGCTTCAAACACAGACTGAGCACCTTTTTTTTCTTTTAATTAGCTTGAAATGTTTTGAGCTGCATTTTTGCCCCTTTTACTTTGCCATTCAGAGGCGGCCAGTAACAAATTAAGTTCTTGTTGTAGAAGAGATAGAAATAGTGGCTGAAATATTTCAGTCTGAAAGGTTTTTCTTTTTTGCTTTTTTGCCTTTATTTCATGGAGAAACAAACAATAAACTTTAGGTAAGGCCATTGCGGATTCGAATGACATTAAAAAAAATAAAATAAAGAACCTATTTTATTTAAAGCAGCCTGAAAATATGCTCCTAATATTGATTATGTGAAAAAAAAATACAAGTTATGAAGGATTAAAATTTATTAACGGTAAAAGTGGCCAACAGCGATATAAATAAAATAGATAACAGCCTTTAATCCTATTTAATGTTGTTTTAAGTAACAGGCAATGAAATGAAGTGGTTCAGATTTCTTAGGTTAACATTTACAAGGCACTTATGAATAATGATGCCTTCCATAAGTAAGCTGTAAAAAGTGTATGAATTGCCATTTTTAAATGAAGAATGGGCTGACCCAGGTGAGATCTTGTTTTATTTTTTGACCAGCTGAGCCTGATCTCTATGATTAAGGTCCTTTAGTTAAACAATCTTTGGATGAGCTTGAGCTGGCTTAACACTTCAGTTGTTTAGACATAGTTTATGTGTGTTAGCATACATATGTAAATGATATTTTTCTCGCAGTTAGGTAGACATATATGCAAGAAAGGGTACTAAAGGCCCACTATTTAATTGATAAAGAGCCCAGCCCAAGATTTATGTAAGAGAAAAGTGCCTATACGAGGATCAAGCCAAGATAAGGCGAGCCCAAACCCATTGAAGTTCAAGTCCGGCTCAATTTTATCGTGGGCCAAAACTGCTAGAGCTAAGATCTGAAGATGATATAATTGGATGGTGCCTAAGGCTCTAAGGCTAGTGAAGAGATATATAAGGATGATCCTGAGCATGCGCACTCTTAACAGCTCTAGATCTTTAAAATTGGTAGGGAATATCTTGTTTCCTAAATCTAACCATGTGAATTCCTTTTGTTGCCCTAGGAATGGAGCAATGGAGATTTCAAACATGTGACTTGGGTACCAATCTTCAACCCAAATATTGATGGCTACTCCTCCATAGAATTTATGCATTTGCCGGTATCTCTAAATCGTAATATCAGTCGGAGTACAAGGATCATATCCATAGTTGATCAAATCTTCATAGCATTAGCCATTGCTTTCCTTTATATTTTCTACTCATATATATCTTCTAGATTTACTAGAAAATAATGCCAATGGGTGGGAGCTTTTCTGCCGATATCTGCCTGTGTTGTGAATACTGGAATTGTTGCATGAAAGGAAGGGATACAGAGATATATACTTGTTAATTGGTCTTGGGTTCTTACCTCAAATAGTTGCTAAAGAGAGAGAGATGAATGGGATACAGTTTTTTTTTTTTTTTGAAATAAGAATGGTATACAGGTTGGATCATTGTTGTTTGAGACTTTGAGTATATTTGTATGGATTTTGTTGTCTATACCTTTTATTCTTCCTGAGTGGGTTGGTAAATTATACAGAACTGAATGTTATATTGGCAGACTCATTAATTCATTATGTTTATATAATGTAACTTGATTTTGTATAAGCATGTATGCTTTCTACAGTTAATCATCGCCATTATTTTTAATTTAAATTTGGTCACCCAAATACCAGGAACGCGAAATATTATATTATCTGCCCCAATTTGACATTAGATACAGGTCTTCTGCCTCTTTTTCCACGTTCATTTTCTTGGCTTTTTTGTTTTGGTTTGAAGGGAGTACAAATACAAATGTATACAGTATAAATACATACAAAATAGTATAAAAATACAAAGTTTTACATTTATATTTGTATTTGTACTCCTTACAAACTTACAAACTGAGCCTTAATTAATGATTTTATATTGCCCAGGTTGCTCGCATTTGTGCTTTTCTAATCACAACAAAACAACAACTCTTATTGCATACTTAAGTAATGAAAATAACCATTAGAAACCCGTTGAGAGGTTTAAGTCATTATACCTGAAGGCTGAAGCTTTCTAGAAATAAGATTAAGACAATATCTTCAACAAAGTCCATAACTAGGCATTCTTTTCTTACTCAGATCCTTAATTAACATAGAATGCTTGGAAGACATTTTGTTTCCTTTTATACACAATAACGTGTCTTTAGTCCCAACATTATATCGGGTAGTAAGGGTGTCAATGGACCGGTTTTGGATTGGATTCCGTCCAGTCCAAAATCAATTTGGATGGATTGGATGGATAATTAAGATATATTGGATTGGACTAATCCGGTCCAAAATATTTATTAGATTGCATTGAACCTGATTCATTTGTAACAAATTTATATTGGATTAAGTCAATATTTGATCCATTGATATAAGATAAGAATATATGTGTCAATGAATTGGGTTTGGGTTAAAACCAATCTAAATCAAAATAAATTTGAACAGATTGAACGATTCAGACATTGAATTGGATCGATCCAAATTGATCTAAAACATTCATTGAATTAGATTGGACCTGATCCATTTATAATAGATTCACATTGATCTGGATCGGATTGGACCAAATCCAATCCAATTAACACCCTATCGGATAGGCAACGCTACTTGAAAAGGTCCAAAAAAGGTCACTATCGAATCCGCCAAAACATTTAGCATTCACCTCCTAGCTAGGTGGGGCTAAATAAATAATGTTGCTACGCTTATAAATAAGCAGACAAATATAAATAATTTTGAATCTTCCAAGTTCCAACTATGGAACTGTGTATCTGTTGGAGCTTTCTATTTGTTGTCCTTAGTCCTTACCTACAAATAATATTAGATACTTCACATTCTCATTAATTCTCACGGGGAGCTACAAACCAAATAATAGAAGATTCAGTGCTGTGCTTATATTATGCTGTTTTAAGATGTATAAAAAAAAAAAAGAAAAGAAACAAGTTGGAGTGATCAGATCAACTTAATTACACTATTACAGAGACCATGACTTATAGTATTTTCTTGGAGCTGTAAACCATCTTGCATGTGAAAGATTTTTAGATTTTTATCACTCTTGAAGAAATAAAAAATAGACAGAAACAAAGAGAGCTATTTGAAAGAAGATATGATTGTCTGCAATATATTGCATAGGAGGTGTTATATGTTGAAATGTCATGCATTGTTGGTCCACCTAAATTCAAGGCTACCACCATGATGCATCAAGTACCTTGTGTTAGTGGGAAGAGGGAGAGAATAGAGTCCCACAAAATCTATTGGAAAGGACTCTAATAGCCTAGTTTTAACTTTTGAGATGTCTCCCTAATTATATCCTAAATATTTAACTTCTATTATCTGCATATATTAATATAGAAAAATACCCTTTTCAGTTGATTTTTTTTCCCATTTTGTGGACAGGGGATGTGCTCATCCTACTGCTCCATAGAGCTAAAGTCAACAAATGAGTTAATTGCCGTCCTCATCTCCAGCATATTCATTCTGGATGATTCAAGATTCAAGAAAGAAAGAAAAAAAAAAAAAGAAAAATGATGGTGAATGGGTGGGTCTACCTTGATTTCTTTCTATTTAATGGGACAAGTATAGCAATCAGCTTCAGTGTAATCTTTTTTGTTGGGTGTTGGCAATTAACGGTATGACGATAGAATGTCTATTATATTACTATGAAAGCAGTCATTATCTCACTTGTTTCTAGCATGCTGTTCATGATGCATGCAAATTCACAAGGTCTTGTTTTTATGAGTGGAATCTAAACTAGAGTCTCCTCCGATATTGAATTGCATTTGAATTACATTTGTTGGCCATACTTATCTTTATTCTAGGCCTAGGCCATTTACATGGTCAAGAAATGCATAAGTTGGCAAGAATAAGAAGAGGCAGTTTCTTAATTATTGAGTTCAATGGCCCTCACTCCTGATGATCTGATTCTATCTTAAAATTTCTCAAAGTGTTGTTAGTTAGACCATAGATGATGCTTGGCGTAAAGCGCAAGGGAATTAAGGAAGCATGCAGCTGCCAAGCTTAATTATTTTAACATCAAATTGGGTGGCAATTGTCAAATGGATTGGCTGGTTACAACTAACAAATCATTCAGATGTCTTTAATTAGTTGGGACCAAGGGTGCAAACCACTGCTCCATAAAAAAGAGTACAAATCACTCTATCTATATAGCAATTGCTGAAGTAGCAGCTATAGGTACATAGCATTAATTGTGTGGTTTTGTTAACAAATGAAGCCAATAATAAGGCCAACTTCATGTGTATTCCAGTCCATTTGGCGGTCCCAGATCAACTTTGCTTCATCTCATGGACGTACTACTCACTCAAGTCCAAACCCATAAATAAATTACTTTGACAAGCCCATATAAAACCAAAATTTTGCTCATTTTTCTTGATTTGATCAACCAAAGACAATGAAAATCCGCTGCCAGTTTCTTCGCTGCAAAATATTTTCTTTCTGCAATTATTTTGGTACTATTAAATGGTACAATTTACTTTTATTCTGGTAAAGCTGCAATGTAATACAAAAGTTAAGCAATGAATTAATCATAATACTATTAAAATGTAATGGTAGTGGACTTTTTTAATGTACCATGTGTTTTCAGGTAAAAACTAATGGTCCTTAAGCAGGATGCAATTAATTGCATGAAGCCAACATACATTTGGAATTACTTTGAAGGGTTTTGCATATTCGGGAGGTGCATACACATTAACGTTGGTGGTATAATTAGGGAAACAAGAAGAACAATATATATATATTGATTTTGGTTAAAAGAAATGGGTAAAATTTAAGAAATAGGTAATACAAAATTAGAACAATTCATGATTTGTTTGTAAAAATTACAAAATCTTAACTTTTACAAATAGATATTGATTTCAACCATTTGATTGAGTAGAATCAGAATCTAATTCCCATTCCTGGTGGAATGGCATTTTCCATAGGAGGGAATGATTTTTAGGGGGCATTCAATTTTTTGATTTAGAGAGGGGGAAAGTTGGTAAATGGGATTTTGGTTCCCATTGACCAAGAATCCCATGTTCGTTTTTCAGATTAATGAAGAGACCATGAAAAATTTATTTTCCTGGGTATCACTTACCCAGGAAAGTGATATCCATCTCCTATATGGATAAATAACGTTCCCACATAGGGGGAAAGTTGCCAACACTTGAATAGGACAAAAACACCCATTTTAATAATGGATTTCTATGGCTAAAATGGTCGTTGCCTTATTTACCTGAAAAATAAAAGAGCATGGGTAAATGCACTTAGGTAAGTGTTTTCTAGGAAAAACTTATCTAGGTAATTGTGTTTACTCGGGTAAGTAACTTACCGAAAAGCGAATGGGGCCTTATTCCCACTCCTCCTTTGGGAATGAGAATCCATTCCAACTGATTCTAATTCTGATATCCGTTTGAACCAAATGGGCCAGAGGAATAGACCATTCAAATTCTGAATCCCACAAATTTCAATTCTGATTCTAACTGCAAACCAAACGGACTCTAAAATGCTATAACAATTCACTGACTTATCATAGCAATTTAACAGAAATACCATACCTGATAGGGGTGAACATTCAATTTATTCGATTAAAAACCGCACCGAATAAATTAAAATTTTAAAAAACAAAATTTCTGTTAAAAATGAAATGTAATTAAGATATCCTTAATTAAAGACACAAAATATCCTTAATTAAAAACCAAAACCAAAATAAAAAGATAAAAATTACATGCATGATGTGGGCATGAAATTCAACACGACCTCATCGAAGGTTTCTGTCAGCCACAAAATATCGTTGATCACGAGACCGTGAAGGGACCTTGAGAAGTTGTGAAACCACCGGATTTCCTGGACAATACATAATACATTAATAGCTAGAACTGGCATCAGATCAGATTCAATAAAAGAGAAAGACTGGATACAATAAGACAGTTGAGAGGACGATATCCCGTGTGTATTATATTGGATACTATTTTAAAATTGGAAGGACGAGTTGTCTAGCTGTGCGATTTCTGTAGTCCATACCAATACCATACCCCACCGTTGCTTCTTAAGTCAAAAGATGTTAGTTGGTAGGACTGTTGAAAAGAAAAGCCAAGAATTTAAAGATCCTAATTCATTCAATTTCCATACTATGCACAGTGCATCCATAATCCATTCCAGTCTCTCTCTCACTCTCAACATACTGCATTTGTAATTCAATCTCTGGATTACTATCTGCCTATATGACTATGTACTCATTTCACATTCTGTCCTTCCCCCCATCGAAAAGGAGAAACAGAAAAGCTGTAGTAAATTGGCTTTTCTGTTGGTTGGTTTATCTCAATGTCTTATTTCTATTTATTTATATTTTCAGAGGTAATATTAATAAATATTATCCATGGACGTTGATGAAACATAACGATATGACAGAAATCGTATAATTGAACCTACATAATTAAGTCTGAGTTGAGTTGAATTATGCTAATGCTTAATTAGGTTTGATTGGTGGTTACCGGAGAAGCCTAGTCTCACGTCTTGGTAAAATTAAAATACAAGTTTGGTCTTTATCCAATATTTCAAAGATGGGTGGATACCAAAATCCGATCCTAGAAAGATGTGTGGTTAATTTGGGGGCACCACAAACGACAAACCTACACCTAATGAATGTAATCCTTGGTTCTTGGACCGTGGAGACCTGCTCAGTAAAGCTTTGCTCAACTCATTCTACTCAGGAAAACTATTATTAGGGCCAAAGCCGGAATTTAGAAGCCATTAGGCCCATGAGGCCATGACCCATGGGAAAGGAAGTACAAATCCATGAATATGTAAGTGCCTGGGCCTGGGCCTGGGCCACTCCATTTTAGGGGTCAAAATAAAGCATCGCGGGATTGGGGGATACACCGGCAACCAGTATTCCAGTCCAGATCCAGCAGTAGCAGACATGGAAATAATAAAAAATTGCAGTTCACGTGCTATTTTGGATCTTCACTTCACTGGTGGCGTGTTTGTGTTTAGTAATTACTAATTTGAGGTTGTAAGGACTAAGGTGTTGCAGCGACTATGATTACAGCGGATGTGAACTCCGTGTGTTCATTCATCACAAATTCACAATCGTAGCGCAGGGCTGAGAGTCTGAGCCCCCACCAAGAACAAACGTATGTTGCTCTTGATTAGGTTACGTTACTTGCATCCGGGGCGGAGCGGAGTCTGAGAGTCTGAGACCCAATAAATTACTCCAGCTCTCCGGCCTCTCCCCCTTTAGTTATATTCCTTCCTCTGCTTGCCTGTTTGACGCGCGGTCTGAGGTCTGAGGTCTGAGGTCTGAGGTCTGAGTCTGGGAAGTGGGAACCTCTAATTAATTCTCTCTCATTGGCCGCAAATTCCATGCGCCATGGACGACAAACAAGGGAATGGTGAATGCCTCCTGCTCTCTGGTATCTCATCTCCGCTTGTCGGAGAAAGAAACGACATTCGTATCGGTGCTGCTTTCCCTTTCAAATCTCCCCCCATTTTTATTTCATTTCCCATTTTCTATATCTACAGTTCTACACACTTATCTATTTTATAATTAATTACATCTCTTGCACAACACTCAATGTTCTGGTGAGGGTGGCTAATTGGAGATGGATCCAAACCCAATGCTGTGAAGTTGCAAGACAAGGGTTGTCTTCCCCTTCCCCTGAACTATCACATTTGCAATAAAACTGTGATCGGATTTCTGATTAGACCACCGTAAGAGAAGTGAATCCCATCAAAGATTTCCAAGGACCCACCTAATATTTGACGTTTAGAAGCTAGCTAGCGTGGATTTCATAAATTGGTGGTTTTATATCGAAACTCGAGAGGTGGTGATGCATCGTGTTCTTTTCTTCCTTCTACATCAGTAGATTCAGTACAGTAATGGATGGACACCACACCAGACACCATTTGTGTCTAGTGTAGTTCCTGTGCTTGCATTGTCATATAAACGGAACTGCTTCTTAATCTTTGTAGGTTGTAGCTGTTACACTTCTCCAAGTATGATTGATTGCCCCGTCCAGCATTCAAGCTCCGGCCTCTCCTCTGTCCTCTCACGCGTAGCCTACCATATTCCACCACTTTCTCATTGCAGTAGACTGATACTTTGCACGTTCTCGCGAGAAATTCTCTCTACTTTGTATTTTGGGATAAGTAAACTGCAGTTCACCTCAGAAATCTGAGGTTTTAAGATACACTCGTTTAAAATTCTTCAAAGTAACTTTAGCTTTTTTATATGATTAAACAACCTTGGATTGGTGGCGAAAAAATGACTTATATTCAATCAGAAACATAGATACAGAGGTGAACCGACTTGTATTGACACATCAGCTTTATTCAGTTACAACTGTCTTGATTTTCTTGATTCTTGGGACCTTCTACAATTCTTGGAATTCTTGGATAGCTCTAAGAGGCTTTAGCTTTAGAAAAGATTTGAAAATTCAAAATGCTTCTTGAATTCCTTTTGGGGTTTATCAAAAGCTTCTGTATTCTGTACCCTGCTCATAATAGACTACAGAGCTTACTCATAACCATATGAATTCTATTTTAGAAATTCCATTGCTCTACTGTGCTGTGATTTCAAATGTTTTGACAAGTTTCCTTCATTTTTTTTTTAATTTTAAAATCTTTAGCCTGTTCTGAATCCAAGCATAGTTTTCTCACTGTTTGTCAACCCCATAACTCTGGACTCTCGACTCTGGAATTACACAGATTACATTTTCTTTTGACTATTTTATTCTGCTTCTTTAGATGGGTAGCTTTCTTAATCTCACTTTATAACTGTTCAGAAACCTGAAAAACTTTGAATAAAGATTAAAAATAGAAAAGGATTTCATGGGTGTACCTTAAAGGGCATCTTCTTTTGAAGGAAAACTGAATTTTCGAGGAAGAAGCTGCCAGTAAACTGTACTCTTTATTTGAATTGTTTTACCGGTTCACACAACTCCACATTTGTTTTGGTTCAGAGACCCGTTGTGTTGTGTCCTTGGAGTATCTTTAGAAGAAAGCACTGGACCTGGACGCCACAAACAGAACGCACCAACGCAGGGTCTTTTGAGGAACAGAGATAACCCGGCCAATTCCCTCATTCACATTTTTCTTTTCTTTTTGAGGCCTACTTCCCTTAGGTTAATGAATTCGGTCTAGCTGAATGTCCCATATAATAACTCAGACTACAAATCCAATGATTAATTTGATCTGGTCTATGCTCTAGCCTCTATGGGTTTTCCAAATTCAGCTTTTGATCTCAACCATTTAATTGATGTGTTGGCAACAAATACTTGATCTAGGTTGTCCGTCCATGTGAAAGGTCAAGATCCAACCATTTATATGCCAAGATCAACTCTCCATGAATAAATCATTTTGAGTATCTAATATCATCCAGCATTTCCAAGTGGTTTACCGAAACCAACCTACCGAATGCTCGGATTCGTTCAATTTGGTCCTATATACCTCTTGAAGTTGTGTTGCTCGACTGGGTGGCAGTGAGGTTAAAACTTAAAACACAAAGAATGGCAGTCTAGTCTTCGGAGAAAGCTAAAAATTGTCATGGAAAAAAGTTTAAATTTATCTTTTGACAACATGACAACAGATTTTAAATGTGTAGCGTGGATTCAGAAACCTCAATTAGGGTATGTGAAACCCAGAAACATAATGCACCAGCACAAGGTTTCTGACTGAGATAACCCGGTTCAAGAATCAGGGTTAAGGAGTTTAATTTGAAGTCAGTATTTTGTTTTGTTGGATCGTTCTGATTTGGTTTAGAAAGGATACAAATGACAAATCCGTCGGTGTCTTCTGGGAAATTAATGGTATTTGACGTAAAATGCGGCCACACTCGTTTGCCTTTTTCGGTAGTTAAAGCACAGAAAGAAACTGGAGCTTGCAGTTTTTTTTTTTTTTTTGGGCGGGGGGGTGCTTGGAAAATTTTTTTCGTCAAGCACATTCAACAACATGCATATGCAACTTTTATCTTTCTTTTATTCTTTACTAATTTATTATTCTGAAGGTTTCAATGGCGAAGCCCTGTTTTTATGCCGAAAAGAGAAAGAGAGGCGACCATTTACTGTATTTTCTACAATTTAAAACCCTACACAGACAACAGACACAGGGAGATCAAATCGAACCAGTTGAGAACTACGGACAAATATTAGCGAACAAGTATGTAAATGTAATGAGCATTGCAGCTAATCGTTACGTCATCCATTTTCAGGATTTTGATGGTATGATTTTTGGAATTCGCATTTGCTAATTGAGTGAGATTCAAATGCACGAGGGAACCCAAATTCTGAGAGAAAATATTTAGATAAAACTAGTGAAGTTTATTGACCGTTATATAGGATTATACACCTTTTTTTTCTTTCTAATTTTTGGACGAACGAATTACTACAATCGAATGTCGGTGAGACCAAACCAGATTTGCTCAAATACTTTAACAATGAGGTCATGATACTCGTCAGAATTCAATGAAAGATAACAGGCGAGTAGTTCTTCCAAGTCCTTTGATGCCCGGATGTTGTTCTCCACAACCATCTCCACCATTGAGTCCCTAAAGTCCCTTTGTGGGTCGAACGAGGACTTGACGACTGCAAAACTCTCCGACAGGCTCTTCCTCCGTGGTCTCGAGCTCGGAGTGGACGACACAGACTTCCGAGCATAGGCCTGAATCTTCCTGCTTGCAATTCTGGGAGAATTTGCTCGGAGCTTAAATCCGGGAGAAACCGGCAACTGTCTTCGCGGAGGAGGGCTGATCCTCTGTTCTTTGAGAGCCTTGACATGTTCATGTTTGACCACCTTGACGGAGAGAGACCTGTGCTCTTTTGTCTCCTCCAATTTAGTAGAATATCTTTTAAATTTAGCGGGTTCGGTAGTGGCATCTTTCTTCTTCATGTCCCGGATCATATCGCTAAATTTCGCAGGTTTGGTCAAAATTGGGGACAGTTCAAGCTGTGCAAACGAATCAAACCTATCAAGTTTATCAAAATCTCTAGTAAAGGACTTGTCCTTCGCATCAATGATGATATCAGTGGCCGAAGGATTGACCCTACAACAGCAAGAGCTAGACCATGAGCCTAATCCGTGGAATGGGTCGGTAGGGACTACGTGGTCAGAGCAGCAGAATTCGGATAACAGTGATTCATGGAAGTCAGGGTCGGGGGAGCTCTCAAGAGGAGAAGATGAATAGTCTGGGGTGGAATTAGACTTGGTCCAGACGGAGTCAAACGTGGCACGGCAGCTGCAACCGGCGGAAACAGAGGAAGTAACAAGCTTGGAAGAGGACCTCATGGTTCTTCTCTTGGCTTTTCTCCTGGACGATTTTCTTGGTGGCTCAGGGTCAGGGATATGGTTGTCGAAGGCTTTTGTATTTGTGGGTGAATTGTATAATCTGTCTGCCATGAAGGGATCGGTGGTGTAGTAGTAAGACCGTCTTCCGTGAGAGAAGGGAGGTTGTTGATGCTGCCGCTGCTGCTGCTTTGGTTGGCTTGGTTGCGGTGATGTCGTCCTATTGAGCTGCTTTTTCTTAACTGGGTGAGAGTTGATGATATGGTTCCTGATCCTGCCCATGTCCTTGAGTTTGTAAAACCAGGCATTTGGCATCATATCTGATAACCTAAACCTGTAATTCCCCATCGAAGATAAAAAAGCGCTCTCTCTCTCTCTCTCTCTCTCTCTCTCTCTCTCTCAGGTTTTCAGTCTAACGAACGATACAGAGAGCGAGCGACTAGTGAGAAAGGAGGAGGATAAATAGGAAGTGTCTAAGTGTGAACTGTGCAGGGGAAAGGTCCAATAAGCGTTTGTTGAAGCCAAGACCGGACTGGAGTCTGGAGGGTCCACAAAAAGACAAGAAAAACTCTTTAAAAGAAGATAAGAATCATAAGAAAAAAGGGAAAGAAAAAAGAAAGAAAAGGTTGGTTATGACTTATGAAAGTATACAGGACGGAGTCATTTAGCTTTTCTTCATAACTTCATTGTGACGCCTGATCAGCAGTAGACAAACAGGTCCTTGGTTTGGTTTCTTTATCATCATTCAGCTTCTTATTTATTTCTTTAAATGTTAGTTGTAATGATTAAATTTTTTTCTTATACCAGTTTGTCTACAAAATGATGCTGAATGCAATATATATATATATTTTAACGCAGCGCCGGATTCTTCATTATTGTGATATTTCCAGGCTACACATTTACAAACAATCAAGTTGTTTGGTTTTGGGTTGGGCCTTGGGAGCCCGTTGCTTGGCCACAGCCCACAGGGGGTGCCAGCCGGTGGACCCTTCTGTTGGCCTTGGCCCTTGGGTGACCCAGGCCCCAGTTATCGAGTATTGGGGAGTGGTATGCAATGATAATGATTATGCTTTATGCTAGAAATTGTAAGAGTCAATCCAAAGCAGATATGCCTTAGAGGGAAAATCTGGCCCTTCTGTTATCATAAGCATAATCCAGTATAACCAATATAGCAATGAAAGAAGGTAGATTCGTGGGTTGGTCCAACTGAGAAACCAAGATACATGGTTCTGTAAATTTCAAGAGGGGATTGTTTACTTTTGCATTGGTAGTTGGTAGGCAGTTTTCCTTGTGTCATTTTTGGCCAAAATAAATAATGGAGCTCAGCTTCACTCATCCTTGATCACAATTCACAACTTCTAGACCCAAGTAAGCAAAATGGAATCGCTATTTGATGAGAAAAAGAAGCCGATGATGAGTGTGATGACCTGACCTCTACATGCATTTTAGTCTACACAAGTCAAAAACATGGACATGGTTCAAGAGGGGATCTAGCCTTTACAGTTGTATTGGTTGGTAGGAATTTTCCTTCTTTCATTCTAGTCTCTCTTTTAAATTTTCCTGTGACAGATGGGCCACACGACCCCTGATGGCAGTGCCACATTCTCTTCTTCCATTTTAGTCTATACATTGGACAATGCAAATGGACTAACAATTAGATGAGATCGAAATAGTACCCTATGTGGAGTGAGTGCACTTTGGCCCATACCATGTATTATTTCCTTATACTGACCAATTACATCATCCCACATCAAAGAATGGCCGGCTGCATATTGAGAAGAAAACATAACCCTGACAATCCGAGGGTAAAATAAAACAAAACAAAACAAAATTGAAACAGTACAAAACTTTGGATAGTTGGACTTGGATCAAGCTTGCTGATCCCTTTCAGAATCCCTTTCATTTGCTAGTACATAGTTTCAGCGGGTTATTCCAGGCTTGAGTTTGACCCACCAAAAATACTAAAACCCACATCAAATGGAAATGGTTACCCGTTTAAGATAGAAAAGACAGTAAAAAGCTTCTGACATCAGTCAAAGAGCAAAATGCCAAAACCAAATTTTTAAATCAAAACAAAGTTCTTCTTGACTGATAAATTAGTATAATTATTTAACCTCAATAACAAGCAATAACACTCCATATGTTGCTACCACTTTAATAGGTCCGAGTGGGAACCCCATTCCTAATTATTGCATGAATTTGTTGATTATTGGGTCTAAGGTGGGCCCATTTATCATAACACTTAAGAACACCTTTCTATCAAACATAAACCTTGGCGCCATCGAGACGGTTGGGTTCATGGGTTATTTGTAATTAGTTGATGGGCAGGCATGTAAGGCCCATCTAAATGAATTGGCTAATCAAGCGTCCACGGAATATATAAATCCCAATCCCGTATATCAGCGGCCCTCATTGTTAGAGGTGAGTATGGGTCCGTTCAGTTTGATTTATGACAGAATCTAGAACTTATATATCTTATAGGAATGGGTTTTAAGTTTTTAGAACTGGAATCTATCCTATGAATGTTAGTTTTGGGGTTGGTTTTGGCCTTGGTGGTTTCATGGTCGGTTCTAGGGTCTACCTGTAGAATCTATTCTTTCTTTACTCCCAAGAAGGATGTTCCTTAAAAACTTTTTTTTTTTTGAATGATTTGTTCCTTAAGAACTTGATTTTCAATAATTATAATATATATTTTAGAACTTATATTATCTTTAATGATTAAATCGAGTAATTTAATATGTAGATTATCATTATATGATTCAAAACATATAACTTAAATTTAAATTTTGTAAATATTACCTATTACATTACTTATTGTACACATTAAAATATTAAAATAAAAACAAGTGATTGAATAATTTAAGTAACTCAATGGTCAAATGAGACCATGGCCTTTTATAACCATGAGTGCTTGGGTTCAAATCTTCATATCCCCAAAAGTACTTAAGGGTTTATTTCAAGATAAGCTTGAATAGGCTAAATCAACACTTAAATCTTAAAATCATCCTAAATGGTGGTTGGTTCCAAGAATTTGAAACCAGACCTATTGGATAGGGTCAGTTTAAGACCAATTTGAGGTTTAGGTTCCATTTAATTTCAAGTAAAACCAACCCACTTGCTCACCCCTATTCACCATCACCAGGGTACACATTCATGGAGACAGCATATGAGTGTTGAAATCCACTTAAATATGTGGTTGTGTTATGTATGTAGAACCCACCCACATAGTTATTTGGCTTGATCAGAGAAAGGAAGAGAGTATTGCTTTCTTCCAACTTATCCCCCCCTTGAAAGAAGAGAAATTTCAGTGTTTTGCAGAAAAAATGGAAAGCAATCTCTGGCCTTCTTCATCTTAGCATGCAGCACTGAGCAGAGTCCGGTGGACCTTTACCTTTTACATAAAACGGCTTTACAACTAGACGCAAAGCCCTTTTTTTTCTTTTTAATTTTCTTTTGAGGTTGGAAAGCCACTAAAATTTAATCTTTGTCCATTCCTCAATCGACTCTACATGATTATTTGGCCCAACTTTGTAAGCTTATAAGATAGTAACCTCACTGTGCAAATGTAACTGGGGGTCAAAAATAAAATGCAGGCTTTTTCTTTATTTATTATTTTTTGTTTGATTTAGTATTACCCACGCGTTGGTTGAAAAAGGTTCATTTTCAATTAGTAGTAAAGCAAAAAAAAAAAAAATGAAGGATATATGAATATGACTTATGAGGGTACAGAGCTCCCATGGGCTTTTTAATTTCATTTTGGTAAACTAGCTACGATGGGTTTGGTGTCATAAATTTGACAATGAAATGCCACTTCAAAAATGCCAAAATTGAATGACTACCAACAACAATAAATGGCCGTCCGTTCAAATGCCTAAAAGCACAACTCCAACGTTTTTCTTCTTTTTTTTTTTTTTTACATGATATTCAAATCGTATGCACTACATGGGTAGAGTTGGGGAAAATTAATATTGAAAATTGAATGTAAAGGTGATAACTGATGAGATGGTCCAAGAACTGGACGACCATTACATTATTCACCGGTGGGCTCGCCATTTATACTCTTTTCATTACTGTGCAATGAAAGCCATGGCCTGGGATACGTGGGAACGTATGTGAATTGTGATCGATGTAAAACCTTGGTTTCAGATTCAGAATATGCATATGCTATAATAACTGGGCATCGGCCCAGTTAAGTTAACTAGGCTGTTAAACTCAGAATTAGTGGGGCCAAATAAAGCCACAGGTTAGCTAGCTAGAAGCTTCAACTAGACATAATTCATCCACGACGGTTTATTTCATTGTTACAAGAGTTGCGTTCATGATTGACGATAACACCCTCTTGGTCTCTTTTGGTCAATTCTTTTTTTTTTTTGAAGTTAAATTTATTAGCTTCCAAGAGTTGTTAAGAAAGTGGTTTTAACTCAGAAAAAAGAATTAGTTCCAACACTTTGTATAAATTATATTCAAACTTGAAAAATTGATTCTTAAAATTAATCACAAAATTCAAGAGATTTCATGCTCTAAAAGAATGCTAACATAACCTCAATGCTCTGAGGGTGCAACAATTTTTTCAAATAGAACATGACATGTACCGACTAGTGATCGACTAGGCATCATTTAAAGTGATCCAGTTTTAATTGAAAAGTTTTGCCATATGAGAATATTGTCAATTCAGAAAAATGTCATTGTTTTTTATCATTTTAGAATGTGGCACATGATGGCATGGGGGGGGGGNGGGGCTTACAACAACAGCTCCTATCAATTTGGTGTTTCTGATGATGATACTGGATGGCCCGGCCCCTTTGAACACAAAGCATAAAGCTATGCTTTATTACTGTTGCAATATTGGTATTATTATTGCATAAATCCAAAACTAGCATCAACTGTGACATGAAAAAAGTGTATTAACACGGCATCCAGCCAAACGCATCAGGAACATCACTCCATGAGTCATGATGAATGTAACATACAGTAGTAGGAGAGATGTTCCTGATATATGGGTTGGATGCGGTGTGGATGCAATAAAAGTGATGTTCGTAGCAGCACAAACAACTGGTTGAGAGAGACATAAATGTGAAAGTGGAAGGTGGGGAGATGGCGTGGGTGTGCAGATAGATAAATAGCTAGATAGATAGATAGATAAATAGAAAAAGAAACAAGAAAGAAAGAAAGGAGCAGCAGGGGACCAGCAATGGACGACGATCATGCATGTGGTGTGGACTGTGTGTGGAGTCCTGACTGCTGCATATGAGTATGAGCATGCATGACAGCTCCTACTCGATCCACGATCGGAAACGTACCTGGCTACCTCTTTAACAACGTTTCATCCACCCCAATCCCTATAACCCGCCGGTGAAATTGTGAACCAACTCCTTCCCGTTTGAATTTAGATTTAGGTGGTCTCCATTCTCCAAAATATCTTCTCTCTCTGTTTGGCCTGATGCTCATCTCCATGAATGATCAAAATCGTTCTCTTAGCT